ACCTGTTAAGGTCCCAGCTATGAACAAATAGTTAACTATTACCAGCAATACATTTTTGAAAAAAATTATTACCATCACAACAATTTTGAAGGAAATATATTACCAGAAACAGGTTTTTGACAAAACAAAATATTACTAGCAATAGAAAATGTTGTCGGCATTAAATAACCCATTGAGGTTGATATGCCGTAAAACAAAATAAACCAAATCAATCTAAACCAAAGAATACATATTCTATAAATACGAATCTATCCTAAAAATAATGTCGGCATTAAATAACCCATTGAGGTTGATATGCCGTTAAACAAAATAAACCAAACAAAACTAAACCAAAGAATACATATTCTATTGATACCAATCTATCCTAAAAATGTTGTCTGCATTAAATAACCTATTGAGGTTGATATGCCGTTAAACAAAATAAACCAAACCAAACCAAACCACTAACAAAAGGAGGCACGGTGGAGATAGTGGCTCGGACTGAGGCATCGGAGAGCTGAGTTCGAATTCCAGTAGGATCCATTACATTCACTTACGTGCTAATACCCTTAGAAAAAGTATGAATCATCTTCTTCTCCCCACAGCTATGGGTAAATAGCAGGACAGACTGGGTTCTATAGCCTTGGATGGCAACTGGTCTACCGTAGAAAGAAATGGCAACCTACTGCGGGAAAAATCTGCCTCGTCAGTCATGTATCGAACGATACATGATCGCCTAAGCGTGTATAACGCATGGCACATAACTGACTGACTGAAGATAGTCTTTACACAGAAGTGGTAGCGTACACCGTGGATTAAAGATTAAGTTTCTTAAACACATGAATAGTATCATTCGAACGGATAGAATGCGCACGAACATGTGATAGTAAATTAGGTCAAACCAATTTCTGTTTTAAGGAACCAGTTGTAATGATAAATGTATTAGTCTAACTACTAATCATATATGGAAGCTAAGAATAAATTTGGAAAACAGTTGCACGCCTTAAGGTTTTGCAGCGTACACAGTGGATTAAAGGAAAAATGTTCTCCTTCATGACAACACAAAGTCGAATACAGCAAGAAATAACATAAGATAAAAAAAAATGGAACTCGGTTGGTCTGTTCTAACCCACCCGCCATATTCAAACCGATCTTTCACCAACCGAATATTAAGTTTTGCAATCGCTTATTTACCTGATCTCTACAAAGCTCTTATGTATATGCATACAAATTAGTTGCCTTTTGTTCTGAAATGTTTAGCGAACTCTTAGGTAATTTCCGTTTTGGGAAAACAATTATAATGAAGAATATATTATCCTTACTACTAATCATACCTATCAGTTAAGAATAAATTTGCAGTAGACTAACGCACCTTGGTTTTGAGCGACAGTGGCAGCATACACAGTGGATTAAAGATTAAATTTCTTAAATCCATTAAAGTAATAGTAATGGCAATATTAGGCGTTAGTCTATATGGAAACATTTAGCCTTGATTGTTCGAGCAGCCAGTACAGTATTCGGTTGAAATTTATAAAAATTTCTCTTAAAACATTTTTTTTAGGAAAACAGGTTTCTCAAATCCAGTAGCTGTTATAGCTCTTTTCAGCTTTGAATAGAGTTTCCTTCCTAACCTTTTATTTGAAATAGTGTGGAATGTCAAAAACTTGATTATGTCATTATATTCTCTTCAAGTTCCATGTGCTATCCATTTTAGTTGTTGCTGCTGTTGGTAGCCTTTCGGTTAATGTGATTTCTGTTATTTGGTTCAGTTATTTGTTTTTGATTTTGTAGCGCCAATTCACAATGTTCAACGAAGTATAATCTTTACCAAGACCCCCAGGCTTTACTCAAAGCTCAAAGCCTTTTTTCACCATTGATCTTAGGAATCGGTTATATAGATATTTCTGAAAGAGTTAGCATGATATCCATATAAAAGTCTAGATCTTTTCCAGTATATATGCTTGATGAGATCATAAATTAAGAACATTTTTCCATACTACGGTAATGGTAATATTAGCCGTTTCCTTATAGGGAAACATTTGGCTGAGCAGTCAGTACTGTTTTGGGTTGATAATTATAAAATCTTTCTCTTTTAGGAAAACTGGTTTCTCAAGTGCAGTAGCTGTATCACTCCTTTTAGTATTGATGAAGTTTTCCTTCTTAACCTTTTATTTGAAGCGTGGAATATCAACATCTTGATTATATATCATTATTTTCTTTTCAAGTTATATGTGCTATTCATTTTAGTTGTTGCTGCTGTTGGTAGTCCTCAAGTGATGTGGTTTTCTCTTATTATGATTCTCATTATGATTCTGTAGCGCCACTCCACAATCTTCAAAGAAGGATGATACTTGCCAAAACAGGCTTTACTCGCTTAAGACCTTTTCACCATTGATCTTAGGAATCGGTTGTATAGATATTTCTGAAAGGGTTAGCATGATATCCATATGAAAGTCTCGATCTTTTCCAGTATATGTGCTTGATGAGATCATAAATTAAGAACATTTTTCCATACTACGGTAATGGTAATATTAGCCATTTCCTTATAAGGAAATATTTGGCATTCATTGACCGAGCAGTCAGTACTGTTTTGGGTTGATATTTATAAAATTTTTCTCTTAACACACTTTTTTTTTTTAGGAAAACTGGTTTCTCAAGTGCAGTAGCTGTGTCACTCCTTTTAGAATTGATGGAGGTTTCCTTCCTAACCTTTTATTTGAAGTGGTGTAGAATGTCAACATCTTCATTATATATCATTATTATCTTTTCAAGTTATATATGCTATCCATTTTAGTTGTTGCTGCTATTGGTAGTCCTTTAGTGATGTGGTTTTCTCTTATTGTGATTTTCGTGATTCTGCAGTGCCAGTTCACAATCTTCAAAGAAGAATGATATTTGCCAAGAACCTCAGGCTTTACTCGCTCAAAGCCTTTCTTCACCAGTGATCTTAGGAATCGGTTGCATAGATATTTGAGAAAGGGTTTGGTGCCATCCATGATACTCATATGAAAGTCTCGTTCCTTTTCCAGGTTATTTATGAATATCACTCAAGTTTTCACGTTAATGTTTTGTTTTTGTAGTAGTCACTTTCTCACAGACGCGCCGTCGCCTCTCTCTGTCTGTTTTACAAATACTTTCATGGTAATTGCTCCGAGGAGTTGCATTCGCTGGTTCCAAGACTTCATGAGTTCAAGCACCCTATGAGGCTGGCATCTCGCTCTCACCCCTTCACTGTCGAAATTCCTAAATGTAGCCGTCTCTTCTACTCCAATAGCTTCATGTCTCGCACCTCTCGCCTGTGGAACACCCTTCCCTATTCCAGTTTCCCTGAGAGCTATAATCTCCAGCTATTCAAATGTAATGTCAATCGACATCTCCAGTTGCCTTAATCTATCCACTACCCTTCTCCTCATCCTTTCTTCTATCACTTCTATCTGATCTTGCTCCAAATCTTCTGTAACCCCTTGCGTCCTTCTCGCCTTGCTTGGGGTGTAACGCTTAAAAAAAAAATTGCAATGTTGGGTCAAACTACCTCTAGCGCAGACTATTCTATGCTCAATTTCCTTATCTTCTATACTAAATTTGTTATAACTGATCCATGCAGCAAGGCAAGGTCTCATCATTTTGCAGGTCAAACTACCTCTAGTGCAGACTATTCTATGTCCTTATCTTCTATACTAAATTTCTTATAAATGGTTCATATGCCGATGTATTTGAAGTGTTTAGTATTTACTAAATCCAGATCCAGATACTTCTGGACCGGTTTGATGCCATACATGACATCCATATGAAAGTCTCGATATGAAACAGTCTATTTAAATATGTCCCCCAAAAGAAAACCACTTTCTAGTTATAAAGCTGAGAGTTTAGATATTTCTGAACGGGTTTAGCACCATGCATGATATCCATATGTTTTCCTGGGTATGACGATAAACTATATCCGGTAACAAGGCATCAGGAGGTTTTGAGGAGCGTAGAACCACCTCTTAATTGCTGTTGTTTCTAAGTCCACCCTGACCCAAGGTGGTAACACCTGTTAGGGTCCCAACTATGGATAAATAGTGACCACCAAACTAGGATCCAAACATGAAAATATAGAAATATTAGAAAAAAATTACCAACGATACATTATCAGAAAAAATATTTACCAGCAATACATTTTTGGAAAAAAAAAATTACCAAAAGAATATAAGATGTCTGCATTAAATGACCAATAAGAAGTTGATATGCCGTTAAAAAACCCAAACCAAACCAAACCAAACCAGACCAAACCAAACCAGACCAAACCAAACCAGACCAAATGATATCCATATAAAAGTCTCGATCTGACGAAGCTAAGAACATGACTCGACTTTTCCCGTTGATCTTTTGGTTTTATAGCAATTTGAGGTGTTAAGCGAAACTACCTCTGGCACAGCCGATTCTATATTCAATTTATTGGGGGAATTGAAAGTATAATGTTATGGGAGTTTAAGCAAGGGAATAAACGCTTTAGAGACATCTAGAAAAATATTTAGTGTTTCTAGTCAAGGGGTCATACACGAGTATTAACAAATGTGATTGGGTACTATCGGTAAATCTCTTACTTAAAAGTTTTCGGTTCAACCTACTTTGCAAAAGCTCTTTGTCGAAATGACCAAACATCAAACTCCTTTCTCAGTCGAATCGAGAACGTTTCAGTGCTCACTCGCTGATGTTCCTTAAAAAGTAGGGGTTAAGATTAAGTTCTAATATGCGGGTCGTACACAGGATAGCGACTGGAAAGGAGCCAAGTTCGAATTTAGTCCAGTTTCGTTAGCTTCACTTTTGCGTAAAATACATTTCAGATAGGTATGAATCCATCTCCTCAGCTACGGGTTAAATAGTAGGACAGGCTGGGCTTTCCGCCTTCGTTGACAACCACTCTAGAAGAAAGGGCAACTATGTATTTACAGCTTATCAGCTCTTTGTGGGTTACTTAAAGCCAAAATATATTTTGGATCCAACTTTGCAAATTACTACAAAGTTTATCTCATTATCTCATGCCTCGGTCATTCTTCCACTCTTTAACTGTATCTTCTCATTTTCTCCCTGGTCCATTTCAATCTTCGTTGGAATTATATAATAACGAGTTTGACGTATGGAATAACTAAAATTATCCATTATCTCATGCCTCAGTCATTCCCACTCTCTTTAACTATATCTTCTCATTTTCTCTCTAATCCATTCCAGTCTTCGTTGTGATGACTCAGAGATCAACATTGATATACTTGAAGAAATATCAATAATTTTATAGTCTGAAAGTTAGTGACTGAATTCCGACCTAAAATGTCCATCAGATGATATTCTATCTATGTGATTAATAGAGAAGCATTGGGAAAATTAAACTGACACGGAAGGAATTTGTATTAACTCATTAATATTTGTTGGCCAAAATAAATGTTTTTCCATCATTTGGCTATGGATTTTACTGATTTACATGCACGCACCCACACACAGATTACTATACCGAGGGTTGTGTGTACTTATGTGTGTGTGTTCGGACATCATGGCGAGATTCAAAATCCCAGGACCATCATCATAGACTATGTGATGTTGGCCTCTTAGGTCATTCGAGGTCACCAGTTATCTTACTTATTATAAAACGCAGATTGTGTGTGTGTGTGTGTCTGTATGTTTATATATTGGATCAGATTTCCTACATTTTTCAACCGATTTCGACAAAACTTCACAAGACTATGTAAAATTACCTTGCGGTGGTTCTAACAGTGCAAAAATTGGAAAAACACAATTGTTTTTGCACAAAATCAATTTGAAAACACAATTAAGAGGCATCACAAGAATGAAAGGGGGACAACTCATATCGAGTTATACTTATTATAAAACCCAGGTTGTTTGTGTGTGTTCGTTTATATATGGGATTGGATTTCCTACATTTTTCAACCGATTTTAACATTTTTTTGGCAGGTAGTGTTTCTTATTGTCTTGCACACTTTTTTCTTTATTTTTACATTCAGAATGCTTTAAAAATTCCATTTACAAGACAATTGTTTATGATAAAATTCTATTCAATCGGTAGACTCATAACGATTGAAAACAATGTTTTTGTTTGAGTTTGACCAATTCGTAAAAAAAACAAAAAAAAAACTAATTAAGACATGCGTGTCCATCAACCTTAAACAATAATCTTTGTCAATTTTATTTTTCAGTCTTTATGATGGTCGATACTTGATCTATCTCTTACTGTTACATCCCCGGGCAATGCCGGGCTCTACTGCTAGTCACTTCTATGGGCCGTATTCCCTCAGGACGTGGGCGATCATGATTCTTTACAAGTCCCTGTCCTTTATAGCTCTAAGTAAATTTTGCTTTTCACTATCTTTCCTAATCCCTGTTTTGCGAATCATTTGCACAAGCTCGTTAGGTTGTTTATGCACTGCTCACCTCTGTCCATCTTGCTTTCAATATGCCATGTGAGTGTCAAATTACATAAACTATCTTTCCTCATTATGAGCCTTAGAAATTTTTTGATGTTAAGTATGAGTATGCCTTTTGATTGCATTTCTTTTTTTTATAAAACTTCGTCATTGCTCCCATGATCAGTTTCATAGCATTCTCAACATGTTTCTGTAGAACTACATTTCTTTTTCTTCATGTTTTTTCTTCATCTGTAATGATATTGCCCAACATTCACGGCCATATTGGAGGACTGATATTATATAATAGTTCAGTACTCATTTTTTTGTTTGTTTTGTAACGAAATTTTTTCTGTTTCTTAATACTTTGCTTAACTTTTGGAAGACATCTTTCGCGATCCCAATGTGCCTTCAGATTTCGGTGTCGCAATATCCGTCCTCTGTTAAAACACTTCCTGGATATTTAAATTTTCGTAACTGTTTGATTTTGCCATCTCCAATTTGTAATTTGCATGGTGGGCTGTTTCTTTTGCTGACAACCATATATTCTCTTTTTGTACAATTGATGTGTAGTCCTTTCTTCTCTCTTTCCTTCACTACCTTCTGTAAGAGTTCTTGTTTTCTTCATGTACCTGCTGTCAACATTGTGTCATCTGCATATCTTATATTGTTAAGATTGTGGCTGTCAATAATGAATCCTGGCAGGAATTTAAATCAATTGCTAAGTCTGTAACTAAGATAGTTCGTTCACTATGTCGCGCTAGACAATTTTTCTCGCTATTCTCTATCTTACATATCTATAAATCCGCCATTTGTCCTTACGTTCAATATTGTTGCCACATCTGGTCTGGTGCTCTTACTACATATTTAAAGATTCTTGATAAAGCAGAAAGAAGAATCTGCAATGTTATTAGTCTTGACCTGGCATCCCTTTCTCACGGTAACGTAGCTTCCCTGTGCCTTTTTTTAAATAAGTACTTTCATGGTAATTGTTCTCATGGATTTTCCTCTATGGTAAAAATTGTACATATGGGAACTAGTTATGATTTCACAGAGACTCTGAAGTATCGTGGTGGATGTAGTAAGAATGTTAAGTAAGAATGTGTTGTTTTGGTGTAAGGAATATTGTAGTTTGTCTGGGGCACAAAGGCTAGGTAAGTTTAAGATAAGACAGATCAAAGACCAGCCTTCCCCTATACCCTTAATTTGGCCTCGTGCCACATTTTTGTATTACAGAAAATAAATATTACTTTCCACTATGGTACCTAGACTTTATGAATTTAAGTGCAGTACCAAATTGTTGATAAGGTCTCATCTTTTAACACTTGAAATGGCTAGATGTTACCGTAAGCTCTATGCTAATAGTTTTTTCTATCGTACTTCTCGATTGTGGAACTCTCTTCCGGCCTCCTGCTTCCCAAGCAGCTTTGATCATCAAAAATTTAAATGTAATGTCAATCTTTATCTTCTGTCTTCTTAATTGTTGTTCTTTTATTGTCCTCTCTCTTTAATAGTAGCTTTTCTCATATGCTTTAACACCCAGTAACCCTTTGCGACCTAGCGGTTTTAATACCTTGCTTGGGGTGAAATGATTAAAAAAAATATCTTAGAATCTTTTAAGCGTTCTCTTAGAATCACCTCACTGTAAAGGTTGGATAAGTCCGGTAAGAAGACACATCCTTGTCTTACACCCCTTTCTAATTTCCCTTTGTTGCAAATTGCAAACACACGTGACAATTCTTTTTTTTAAAAGGAATTTTAATCATTGGGAATTTTCTTTTGGTCTATACATCCCCACGAGAGAACAGGTTGTTGGGGGATGGATGCTTTTATGGAGACACCATCTCAACACATATATATATATATATATATATATATATATATGAAGCATGGTGGAGTAATGGATAGCGGTTTGAATTCCAGTCGAATCCATTACATTCACTTACGTGCTAATACCCTTGGAAAAGGTGTGAATCCTCTTCTTCTCTCCCCAGCTATGGGTAAATAGCAGGACAGACTGGGTTCTATAGCCTTGGATGGCAACTGGTCTAGGCGAAAGACAACTCTGAATTCAATACCTGCGGAGGGTCGTTTGGAGACCTTGTGGCACTTAGTGCACCAGGTCTCTGTATTCGGCCCTTCACAAAGTGTTGATGGTCCTGCACGAAACCTTCACCACTATAATCAAATCTCATGTGCTGTTGTCGGTCTCCTAGGAACTGATCTGCTTGAGCTTCATACGTCGAATTCGACGGGAGAGTCGAATATATATATATATGTGTGTGTGTGTGTGTGTGTGTGTGTGGTCAACCAAAGGTAAATAAACTTCTATCAAGTACAAAAATCTCGGCCTTCCAAATTTGTGTAATGAAACTCGTCGAGCTCCTAAGCAGTTTCTCATCGAAGCAACTAGCAAAAGGCAGACAAAAGGAGGATTTGTTCAGTATTCCCATAATTTCAGCAGAGTTTCCATTAGAACGCAAGTACCTTCAATTCGCAATGACAGTTTTATCACGGCCATCAACAAGGTTCAAATGCCAATCTCTCAAGATCACTGACCTCAACATGAATTTTTATTTTTCCGATGTCTGGCTCTATGTTGGATATTCTAGGGTTGGATCCTAAATCAAATTTTATGTATTGGTAGCCGGTGGGAGAAGAGTTAAAGCCGTGTACCCTGTTTATCTAGTGTCCATGATATAATTACTTTCTTTTTTCTTTCTTTCTTCTCTCATACAGTTCTTTCTTTCTTTCTTTCTTTCTTTCTTTCTTTCTTTCTTTCTACTCTCATAGTTTTCTAGCTTTCTTTCTTTCTTTCTTTCTTTCTTTCTTTCTTTCTACTCTCATAGTTTTCTAGCTTTCTTTTCCTTACTCTTATACAGTTTTCTTCTTTCTTTCTTTCTTTTTTCTTTCTTTCTTTATTTATTTCTACTCTCATATTTTTCTATCTTTCTTTTTTTTTCTTTTCTCTCTTTCTTTCTTTCTTTCTACTCTCCTATTTTTCTATCTTTTCCTTTTTTCTCTTTCTTTCTTTCTTTCTTTCTTTCTTTCTTTCTTTCTTTCTACTTACTCTCATAGTTTTCTAGCTTTCTTTTCCTTTTTTCTCTTTCTTTCTTTCTTTCTTTCTTTCTTTTTTTCTTTCTACTCACATAGTTTTCTAGCTTTCTTTTCCTTACTCTTATACAGTTTTCTTCTTTCTTTCTTTCTTTCTTTCTTTCTTTCTTTCTTTCTTTCTACTCTCATATTTTTCTAGCTTTTCCTTTTTTTCTCTTTCTTTCTTTCTTTTTTTCTTTCTACACTCATATTTTTCTATCTTTTCCTTTTTTCTCTTTCTTTCTTTCTTTTTTCTTTCTACTCTCATATTTTCTTTCTTTCTTTCTTTCTTTCTTTCTACTCACATCGTTTTCTAGCTTTCTTTTCCTTACTCTTATACAGTTTTCTTCTTTCTTTCTTTCTTTCTACTCTCATATTTTTCTATCTTTCTTTTCTTTTTTCTCTCTCTTTCTTTCTTTCTTTCTACTCTCATAGTTTTCTAGCTTTCTTTTCTTTTTCTCTTTCTTTCGTTCTTTCTTTCTATCTTTCTTTCTTTTTTTCTTTCTACTCTCATATTTTTCTTTCTTTCTTTCTTTCTTTCTTTCTTTCTTTCTACTCTCATCGTTTTCTAGCTTTCTTTTCCTTACTCTTATACATTTTTCTTCTTTCTTTCTACTCTCATATTTTTCTATCTTTCTTTTCTTTTTTCTCTTTCTTTCTTTCTTTCTTTCTTTCTTTCTTTCTTTCTTTCTTTCTCTCATAGTTTTCTAGCTTTCTTTTCTTTTTCTCTTTCTTTCTTTCTTTCTACTCTCATATTTTTCTATCTTTTCTTTCTTTCTTTCTTTCTACTCTCATATTTTTCTGTCTTTCTTTTCTTTTTTCTCTTTCTTTCTTTCTTTCTTTCTACTCTCATATTCTTTCTTTCTTTCTTTCTTTCTTTCTTTCTTTCTTCTCTCTCTTTCTTTTCCATACTCCCATACAGATTTTCTTTCTTTCTTTCTTTCTTTCTTTCTTTCTTTCTTTCTTTCCTTAATAGATACTTTTTCAAAATTTTTTGTTTTGTTGTGTAAAGTAAATATGTTATAAATACATGCACCCGTCGGATCATTGATTGGTGGACTTTTAAATACTCCCTCACAGTGTCGAATTGTATCGTAGGCCCCCATCACACTTTGACGAAGCGTCTCTGCATTATTAATGTATTCTACATAAAGCAATTGTTTTAGGTGGCTTCACAGATAAAAATCCAAAGGATTAGGGTTGGAGGAACGTGCAGGCCATTGGACCGGTCCCTCTTACCTATACATCTTTCATGGTAGATGTCAGAGAGTGCATCACGAATACTGTGAGTAACATGTGATGGAGCCCCATCATACATGAACCACATGCGTCTTCGTATTAGCAGGTATACATCCGCTAGCAGGTCTATAAGTGTGTTCGAAATAAATTCCCTGTAGACATCTCCTGTTAGACGTGCTGGGAAAACATATGGATCTATTAGACAATCACCTAAAAATCCAGCCCACACATTAATCGTAAACTGATGCTGGTGTCTCGCCTGTATTATACCATGGGGATTCCTATCCGCCAACAATTGTTGGTTGTGTAAATTTGTTATTCCATCTCTTCCAAATGTTGCCTCATCTGTAAACAAGACTGAAGAGATGTACAACGGATCGACAGTTTGTGCAATAAACCATTGGCAAAAGTCCTCCTGTGGTGAGTGATCAGAAGGCGAAAGTCCCTGCACTCGTTGCAAATGATACGGATACAGGAGCTGCTCTTGAAGTACCCTTCTATGTAAAAATCTATAGTGAGTACCCGTCGATGTATTCTTTCAGTAACTACTTTTTAGCATATTTAGCCTTTGTTTGCACCTTTTACTTGCTGCCACCACTAATACCCAAAGAAAGTCAGGTTAATTGATATTACGACATATCAACTCTTGTTAAATTATTTATTAGAGAAAGTTCACGTAGGATACATCATTGTCCATCGATCATATTCTTCTAAGAATATTGAATTGAAGCCGGTTCCAGAGACGTGGAAAGGAAATACAATAGTGGACGTAACGACCAGGAACATTAATGAAGTAATTTTAAATAAAGTTTTAAATTCCCAATAAAAATTAAATTTTGATTGTTTTTTTTTTAATATTTTTACATTTTTATTTGCACTATTTACATATAGCAACGTCGTGACTATAGCAACATAGATAAGGACAACAGTCCTCATCTTTGTTGCTATAGTCACGACGTTTCGGCCGTTGTACGCGCTGGCCTTCAGAGGAATTTCGAACTGAACCCTTTATTTCGTCCACTGGGTAGATTATTCTAGTTCCACGTGCCTCTTCCGGGTATCTCAGTTTCAGTTATCTCCCTTTAGTAACGCAATTCTCCAAGTTTTTATTCATCTCTGTTACACACCACTTATTTAATTTTACTGGGCCCAGTGATAAAATGGTTGGTTGAAAAAATCCAATAACTTGACTTGAAGAGTTGTAAGTTCAATACCTGGCCACAGCAGTGGATCCGATCACTTTCAGCTAATCTATTAATCATTATCAAGGGTAGTTTTGTTTTTTTAATATGTAGTTTTTTTAGCAATAGAATTGTTTTAATTCCTGAACACAATCAGCACACACACACACACACACACACACACACATATATTTAAAATAATATTTATGTAAAAAATGAAATACCATTTTCCTAACCCAAGAAAACACTAGAACGCTCAAGAATTAACAAGGACAGTGTATGTCTCGAAAACCGAAAGTCAAAATCGCTACAACGGAAAGAAACGAGAAAAAGAAAGAAAATTAAAAAAACAATAAGAAGTGAGTGTAAAGTGAAAAAAACAACGATAAAGACAAATAACCACGACATTCTACACGTACGCACATACACACAGACGGGCGTATACACAATGAAAAAAAAAGTTTATATACAAAAGAAAAATCGAGAAGTATGAACAAGTAATGGATAGCGGCTGGGATTGAGAAATCGGAGAGCCGAGTTCGAATTCCAGTCGAATCCATTACATTTATTTACGTGCTAATACCCTTGGGAAAGGTATGAATCCTGTTTTTTCCCCCTCAGCTATGGGTAAATAGCAGGACAAACTGGGTAACTGGTCTACCGTAGAAAGAAATGGCAACCTATTGTGGGAAAAATCTGCCTCGTCAGTCATGTATCAAAAGAAACATGATCGCTTAAGCGTGTATCACGCATGTCACATAACTGACTGATAAACAATCAATAGCTGATACCCCCTGATGAGTAGACGGGTGATTCCCGGTGGATATATATATATATATATATATATATATATATATATATATATATATATATATATATATAAAGGGTGAGGAAAATCTTTTTTGTCAACGCGTTTCGTTCCTGGATCTTTATTAAGTCAAGTGTAGAAATTTTACTTAGTTATGAGAAGAAAAAAAATAAAATAGCGTTTAGTTTTCAAATTTTGAATTAGTGAATGTTCTAAAATATTGTAAAAAAACTTACTTTTTAAAGGAAAAGTAAACGATAGGGGAGGCCAAATGACGTAATTTTGGTGCCTATTAATTGAAAGTGAGTAGTTATTGATTTTTTATACAATTATTATTTACTTATGTATTTTTGTGTATTTTTGTTCTATTTATTTATTGTCATATAGGAAGAAAAGGAGTAACTGCCGACACCAAGATTCGAGCGTGACATTCTGAACTTATGAATATATTTTTCCGTCAGGTGTATGAATAGCAGTGTCAGGCTACTGACGAGGGTGATTATTGAGTGGAATTATCCAGTCGAATTAGTGTGAATTATAGTGCGTTGATGATTAGGGTTTTGATTTAGGATTTACCAGATGATAAGCTGAGCCATGCTACTAACAAGGTATTCACTGAAATGGTTAATTATCTTTGGTTGACTTTTACTTGTTTGTTCTTGTTAAGTATTTATTTGCGGTTGTAATTAAATAATGTTTTATTTGACATTGAAGTCTTGATTTATACTTCATCATTAACGGCTACCGTACGTTACAAAATTTATTCATTTTTAAAGGTCATATGTTAACCGTTTTCTTTTCATTTTTATGGTCATGTATAAGTATGCTGGCTTTTTCTTATATTGGTTTCATATGCACCACACTCTCTCGAAGGTTGACTTGTCATTTGTCAAAATTGTTGCAGGTAAAATGATTGGCTCCCTTTACCGCTCCAGTAAGTACCTGACTCCTCATGCTAACATCTAACTTTATAGTCAGACTGTTGCCACATTTGGGTAGGAGCTACCTAGATCTCGTTTGCCAGTCTTGATAGAGTTCGAAAGCATCTCCGAGTCCTTGTAAGAGAAAAATTATTTTTCACCCTCCAAACTTTCTCTCACAGGCAGGTTGTGGCTAGTCTCTCACTGCTCTATCACTACTACCACGGAAAGTGCTCCGACGAACTGCATCTCCTGGTTACACCAGGTCAGGCCTTCACCTACATTTCCACCATATACCATCGGCGAAAAGTAAGTTCCCCTCGAACAGCTTCTTCCTGCGAACCACTACTCTGTGGAACAGACTCCCTAGAGGATGTTTCCCCGATCACTATAATCTTAACCTGTTCACGTCTAGAGTCAACCGTTATCTTCCCCTCCTATCCATATAAACTACCTCTTGTCGTAACACTCTACTTCGAGTGGCCTTGGAGCCTTGTATAAGGTGAACGTCACTGTCAAAAAAAAAAAAAAATGAAAAAAAAATAACACAAAACTTGTATATAGGGCACAGTGCAAAGAAAGACTCCAAATTCTAGAGGCTGCTGTAATAAAAGAGAAGTAGTCAACATTAAGTAAGGTATCTTTCTCCAAAGTGGATCGTATATTGAAGTGTGTTTAAAAATACACATAAAAATGTCAGTTTGACCGTTTAAACGATGTCATTTTGAGTGACTTGAAATCGTTTCCAGCAAACGTGAAAATATTGGAATTAAAAAAAAAAAATTCCGTAAATATATACAGAACAATCCTTGAAAACGAATGCAGTAACATTCAAAAGTACTCGAAAAAAAAAAAAAAAAACTAAAAATAAATATCACCTTTGGCAAATTTACCAATAACATAAAGCAAGTTAATCTTTAATTTGATGAAATTATAGAGAAAATTGTCCGTATTATTTAACTTAAATAATATCGAATGTCTATCATTTTTTTAATTAAATTTTGATTAAATAATTTAACCAAATGTGTTTGAAAGCATTATTGCTGCCGGAATACATCTCTCTCTCTCTCTCTCTCTCTTTCTCTGTGTGTGTGTATATATATATATATATATATTGGATTGATGTGAGTTTGTAACCCTGTGTTTCCCGCTATTTCCGATCGTCAGACAAAGTTTGTCTGACAATTGCAAATAGCGTAAAACCCAGGGTCACAAACTCACATCAATCTAACTAAATATGTTAGCTCTATCACTGATATTGAGCACTTTCCAATAAGTACCGCGCATATATAATATATAAATAATATATATAACAATTACACACACACACACATATATATATTAATTATATATATATATATATATATATATATATATATATATATATACATTTATACACATTTACACACACACACACACACATATATATATATATATATATATACTGTTAATATAATAGCTATATTTTGTTTGTAGCGAATCATTCATTCCTAGCGCCTAAAATTTCTTTTTCCTGAATTTCAATTCGTTTAATCCGTAAAATAGTTTAAATGTCTTTTTGTAATAAAAATATATTTGTTATACATATTACATTAAAATCCTTTCAAACCAAATTCTCTTCTAAAATTATTTGTATTGATCTACTATAGTAAATTATTAGTAAGTTATTAGCAATGCAAATACATATATAATATATAATACATATAAATACAGTCATATTCTGTCCGTAAGGCTTGCATTATTGACCACTACCTAAACATTTACATACTTCATGAATTTCCATGCTTTTCTATAGTATTATGAATTAAAATACCTACTCATAATAATAGCATTTGCAACTCATTTCTGTAGTAATA